CCTTTACAAATACTTCATTTCCATTTTTTCATTTTCTCATATTTTTTTCTTTTCCCTTATTACCTTTCCCCTACCCCTCCCACTTTCCCTACACCTTTAGCCCTTTTCTTCCTATTTCACATTGTCAATTATCCCATTAGGATCTTATGTACCATTGTAGTTTTTCACACCAGAGAAACTATTTGGTATTTACACATGTGTGACTTATTTATTTCACTTAGGAGTATATCCTCAATATGTATCCATTTTCCTATGAATGAATCTAATTTCTCATTCTTTGTGGCTGACTAATATTCCATTTTATAGAAAAACCACATCTTCTTTATCCATTTTCCAACTGATGGGCAAATGGGCTGTTTCCAAGTTTTAGCTATTACAAACTGTGCCGCTATAAACATAGGTGCACATATATGATTCTTTTAATTCTTTTGGAAAGATACCCAGCACAGGGATGGCTGGGTCAAATGGAACCTCTCTATTCCCAGCTCTTTGAGGTATCTCCATATTGATTTCCATAGTGGTTGCACCAGTCTGCACTCCCACCAACAATGGAGAAGGGTTCCTTTTTCTCCACAACCTCACCAACATTTGTTATTGGTTGATTTCATGAGAGCAGCCATTCTTTGTGGGGTGAGGTGGAATCTCAGTGTTGTTTTCATCTACATCTCTTGAATGACCAGTGATGTGGAACAATTTTTCATATATTTACTTGCTGCTTTTACTTCAAATGTCTGTTCATTTCAGATGCCCATTTTTGAATCAGGTTTTTATATTGGGGGGCTGATCATTTTGAGTTCTTTCTATATTCCTGATAATAGTCCTTTGTCTGAGGAGCAGCTGGTAAACATTTTTTCCCAAAATATGAGAAACTGAAAAAATGGAAATAAAGTGTTTGTAAATGGGGAGGGGAAGAGGGGATGAAGGGAGGTAGAATCCCAATGATGAATGTAATTGTATTGTATACCTAGATTGTACCAATAACCTCAATAAAAAGAAAAAAAAATTTTTTTCCCACATTGTAGGTTGTCTCTTAGTTCTGTTGACAGTTTCTTTTGCAGTGCAGAAGCTTTTTAATAAGATGAGATCCCAGTTGTTGATTCTTTCTGCTAGTTCCCGTGCTACTGAGGATTTGTTCATAAAATCTTTTCCTATGCCAGTGTCTTCCAGAGTTCTGCCTAACTTATCTTTCAGCAAGTTTAGTGTTTCTCTTTTAATATTTAGATCTTTAATCCACTTGGAATTTAATTTTGTGCATGGTGAAAGATAAGGGCCCAGTTTTAATTTTTGGCAGGTTGAGATCCAGTTTTTCCAACACCATTTATTAAAGGCTATCTTTGCTCCACTGAGGATAGTCACCTCCTTTATCAAAGATGATATAGCTGAGTACATCTGGATTTGTTTTTGTGTCTTCCAATCTGTTCCACTGATCCTCAGGTCTGTTTCTTTGCCAGTACCATGTTGTTTTTGTCACAGTGGCTTTGTAATCTAGTTTCAAATTGGGAATTGTTATACTCGCTTCCATGTCTCTGTTGCCTAGGATGGCTTTTGCTATTCTAGGTTGTTTATGGTTCCAAATGAATTTTTGGATTCTTTTTTCTAGTTCTGTGAAATATAGTGTTGGAATTTCCATTGGCATTGCATTGAATCTGTATAGCAGTTTTGGTAGTATGGCCATTTTCACTGTGTTGATTCTTCCTACCCAGGAGCAGGGGATATCTTTCTATTTTCTTATATCCTCTTTGATCTCTTTTTTCAGAGTGCTGTAGTTTTCAGTGTAGAGGTCTTTTGCTTCTTTTGTTAGATTGATTCCTAGATACTTCATTTTTTTGAATGCTATTGTGAAAGGAATTGTTTCCCGAATTTTTCTCTCAGTGGGTCTGTTATTTGTGTACAAGAAGGCTATTGATTTTTGGGTGTTGACCTTGTATCCAGCTACTCTGTTAAAAGTGTCAATTAAGTCTAGAAGTCTTTTGGTATAGGTTTTTGAGTCTTCAATGTAGAGTATCATATTGTCAGCAAATAATGACACTTTAACTTCTTCCTTTCCTATCTTTATTGCTTTAATTTCTTTCTCTTGTCTAATTGCTGTGGCTAATGTTTCCAGAACTGTATCTAAGAGGAGTGGTAATAGTGGGCATCCTTGTCTTGGGGAGCTCCTTTTTTTAAAATCTGCTCTCCTGTAGGGTCCAACCTGCAGAAGTTTGCTCTTTGCTTCCCATAATGATAGGCTCAATTTCAGGAAGGCTATGTCCTCTAGAATTTTGTAAAAATCTGATTTGTGGTATCTGATTCCTTACCACCAAAGGAAGATATTCATTTTCTCAGTCCTTTAAGCAATGTCTAGGAGTCAGGCATGTTTCCCCGTAGGAGAATGCTTAAAGGCCCACATCCGACCCTAACAGCCTTGCTTATCATTCTTCAGCTCCTAAAGCTCAAATACTCTTCCTACTCCATCATTCCGATCTTATGATTGAGAGAACAACATTCCCTGGGCCTTGACCAGACTTCTTCTGCCACTTAGGCGCTGTCAAAGACTTACACAACGATGGCAAATGTGTTTTTGGCCTTGGATTTCTGACAATGTTGGGGAGGTTTAGTACCCTAGAGTCAACCAGTTGGTCGACACCTCTCTGTAACCACCAACATATATATTAAAGTCTAGTGTATTGCAAATAGATAAGCAGGATAATCATTTTCTAAAGGATGATGATATAATTTCCTCTGTCAGTGTAGATGAGGAACAGGTGTGTACACCTGTAATCCCCGCATTCCGGGTGAGCAAGACAAGAGGGCTGCAAGTTTGAGCCCAGCCTGGGCAACTTAGCAACTTAGTAAGACTCTGTGTGGGATGTAGCTTAGTGTGAAGGCCCTTGGTCAAATCTCCAATACCACCACCAAAAAAAAAAAAAAGAGGCTTGGAGGTAGAACTCAGCAGTAAAACAACTGTCTCAAATGCAGGAGTCCTTGGGTTTAGTTACTGGTACCACAATAACAAAAAAAGAAGAAGAAAGCTAACTTGGGGAAACTTTCTGTAAATTTACAATTACTTAAAAATAACTTCTTCTGTGATTCAGAGACATTTTTATATACAGTAAGAATGCTTATTAAGAGATCTACCCTCTAGCGTGTTGTAAGTGTACAGTACAAGACCATCAACGATAGGCCCAGTGTTATTTAGCCTGTCTCTAGAACTCATTCATCTTGGATAAGTGACATTTTATAACCATTGATTAGTAATTCTCCACGATCCCCTCCCTTCCTTAAGCAACCACCACTCAACTATGCCATTAAGAGTCTGACCATTCTGGAAACCTCATACAAGTGAAGTCTTACAATATCTGCCCTCCTGTGACTGGTTCATTTCAGTCTGACCCTCCAGGTTCACCCTTGACACATAGTGCAAGATTTCCTTCTTTTTCGTCCTGAACAATAATTCCCCGCTTTCTGTGTATACCTCTTATTCTTCCTCCGTTCACAGCCAATCAAGTCACTTCCACATCCTAGCTATTGTGACGAGTGCAGTGAACACAGGAGTACTAATATCTTGTCAAGATCTTGATTTCAGTTCGTCTAGATAGATCCCAGAAGAGTAATTATTGAGAAACAATGCTGTTATTAAAAAAACAAAACAAAAACAAAAGACAGTAAGTGTTGATGGGCTGTAGAGAAACTACAGCCTTTGTATGCTGTCGGTGGGATACAAAGTGGTGCAGCTGAAATGGAAAGTGGGATGGCGTCTCCTGAGCAAATTAAAAACAGGAACAGCGTGACAGAAGATGGACTTCTAACACCTACCTGGAAGCACTAGGTAGTTCTAAGGGAACATTGTATAATTCAGGACACTTAGTTACACATCGAGCCTTTGCCGGAAGTTACTTACTAGCTTCTTGAGATGGCGACCTATATATGGTATAAGGAAACTTCTCCTGTTAGCTCTTTTCTAGAAACTACTTCTCTCTATATATTCCAGCAGAGGTCTTCCTGCTACTTAAAATTTAGATTAAACTGACTCGAAATATCATGTCCTATGGAAAGTCCAGTATCTTCTCTCACATTTCTGTGAGTTCCTGATAGATTTATAATTTCGTGGCCACGCTGGCTCTGCCTTCCACAATTCCTGATCCCTACTTCCGCTCCCTTATGATTCCTCCTTTATCTTTATCTTGACATTGATCCAGCTGTGAGATTTAGCACCTTTCCTTGACTGAAAAAACAAAATTCATCTAAGATGAGTGCCAGAGACTGTATTGATGGCTTAGGAAATGGAGGTGGTTTAATTTCTGAACAGCTTGAGTCACTTATTGGATATTGATCCTTTATCCTAAAATTTTTGTCAGACTACTAAAGTGTTGAGCTATATTCTCTCTTTGTTTTCCTTCTTCTCTGTACTCCCTCAACTCCAAATTTCTGAACAGTTTCCTATATGTTTATTCCCATCTTCTGCTATGCATTCCCCTGGGATCTTGTCCTTCAAATATTTTCTCAAGGGGTACCTGGTTCATGAACTCAATTTTTACCACCAATCGTGCCACTGTATATTCCTAGACAAAGCCTACAAGGAATTCTGGTGCCAAATGAGAGGAAGGCTATATTTTCACGGATGCAAGTACCCATGTGATTATCAGACCTGTTCTTGCCAGGTTGTCTCAGACAGCATCCTAAATTGAGCTCTTTTTTTCCAGAACTGATGGCCAGTGTGCCGGTGTGATGTCTCTGGTGACCAGTAGTGCATGGAAACCAGGAAAGAAACATCAAATTTGGAGCAGAAATACAGAACAGGGGATGGGGTGTGTAGGCACAGTAGCATAAGATTCTTCTGTTATTAACTGACAAATACTCCTTGAGCACCTATTCTGACTAAGGCTCCCTCAGGAAGCAGAGAAAGTATGTAGAAATATACAGCACACACACACACACACAAAATCTTGTACATGATCCTGTGATGACACCAGGGATTGAAACTCCTGGCATATGAACAAAATCAAATGTTCCTTATTCAGGCTGAATGGAGAGAAGAAGTGAAAAAACATTTTGAGAAAATCAAAAGTGAAGGAACTTGCATCCACCGACTAGATGAAGAACTGATTCGAAGGCGCAGAGAAGAGCTCAGGTCAGCTGGTTTCGCCACCTCTCTTCCTGCTCATCCCCAGGTCTCCAGACAGAGGCAGCAATGCCTTGGTCAGTCACCCCCTCCACATCTTACATGTCTTTTCACCTGTGCTTTTCACTGTTATGCTCTTTAAAAGTTGGCCCTTCTATGACTTCTAAAAACACTGATGTCATAGAAACGGTGAGCAGAAAGAGGGTGAGCGGGGAGGGTAGAGAGGAGGGGAAGGTTGGTTGATGGTTGCTACATTAGGAGTGAGCAGTCGTCATGCTGCGCTGCACAGTAGAATGACTAGAGATAATGATAGTACACTATTTCTTTTTTATTTTAAAAGCTAGAAAAAAAGGATTTAAATGTTTTCACCATAAGGAAGTGATAATTATTCAAGACCATAGATGCCTTTACCCTGATTGGAACATTGTACAATGTATGTATGTATCTAACTGTTACATGATACTCCATAGACATGCACAATTTATCAGTTAAACTTTTTACAGTATAAACAATAACAAAAAGTTAGTGGTTCTTTATATCTCTTTTATCCTCTCCTTCCAACTCTGTTATTCTTCTCTGTGATCTGCTGTAACAAAGACCTGTGGGGCAGTGCTATGTGTTCATTCCGCCACTGGGCTGGTGATAGGAAAGGCCAGAAATGTATAAGTTTTAGTCCCCAGCCTCCAGATCTTTATAATTTATTAGGAGATACAAGACATATTCACAGACAACCATGACATTGGCTGCTATGAAAACTACCTTAGAGGTAATTTAAAAACAAAAGAAATGTATTACAATTCCAGAGGCTGGGAAGTCCAAGACTAAGATACCAACAGATAAGACCTGATCCTCACAGACCACACCTTCTGCGTGTCCTCACCTACTGGAAAGACAAAAGCGCTTCCCCAAGCTTCATTTATCCTGATCTTTTTCACTTGAGCTCTACCCTCCTGACATAACACCTTCAAAGGCCCCATCTCCTAATATAATCACCGTGGGGGTTACGTTAACATAAGAATGAGGAGCTATAGGCCTGGGATTTAGCTCAGAGGTGCCACCACCACATGCCTCACAAGCACAAGGACCTGAGTTCCATCCATGGTACCAAAAAACAAAAAAAGAATGGGGAACTGCAGACCTTCAGCCCATCGATCTGTGCCATGAATAAGTACAAACAAATGAATTTCCAGACATATGCATAGAATATACTATATTCTTATTAAGATAGTACCAATACTACACGGACGAAGGCTACAAATTACGCTCCGATTTTATCTGTGGCCCTTGAGGATGAACCAAGAGGAAAGTTTACGCTTCCCCTCTCTCTCTTCTTGTCTGAGTCATTGGATCAGACAAGGGTGCCCTAAAAACAGAGGGCCCCTGGGCAACTCTTTCTGAAGCAAACCCTCCTGTTTCTTACTTGGTTAGAGCCTGCCCTTGTTCTTCCCAAGATTAGTGGACCTCACTGATCCTGTGTTTCCACTGACAGGCATGCTTTGGATATTCGTGAACACTATGAGAGAAAGCTGGAGCGGGCTAATAATTTATACATGGAGCTCAGTGCCATCATGCTGCAGCTAGAAATGCGGGAGAAGGAGCTCATTAAGTACGTATCAAGACCAGTGGAGGGCCTCCTTGATTGATTTGCGCCTGTCGGTCAGTGGAGATGCACCACTCTTCCGTGTTGCAGCTGCTCAGAAGTGGCAGATGTTTTACTCATACACCCAGAATTCCCCAAGAGACAGGCTGTGCCCCAGGGAGGCGCACAGATGACCTGAGCTGCTGCAGATCCCATTACAAGGGACCTGGCTGACCTGGCATTTGGGCTGTGCCCTGCTGCATGGTGCAGAGAAAGGTCTTCATTTTGGAAGAAGTTGGTGTGCATAAGCGGGAGCTTCTGGCCTTGGGGGAAGTAAAGTGGCTGCTGAAACTGGCTTAAGATATCCCTCACGGTGGCAAGAAAACCCAGGGACCTGACCAGAACAGCAGCTACTGAAAATAAGCAGGATTTCCACTACTGTCGTGTGCTAGGGAAGAGAAAAGAGGCCCCTGAATCATAAGCTGAAGATCGGGAGGAAGTCAGTTTCCTTTGAATTTAGTATTTTTTTTAACCCAAGCAGCAGCCTTGTTCTTTGCACAGCCTGTACATATAAAGTGTAGCTGGAGGCTGTGGGGACAATTAACCCAAGAAAGCGCTCTGCTCATCTTTTCTACCAGCTGTGGCTGAGCTATGGCTTTTTGTTTCATCCCACAGGCGAGAGCAAGCGGTGGAAAAAAAGTATCCAGGGACCTGCAAGCGGCACCCTGTCCGTCCGATAATCCACCCCAATGCCATGGAGAAGCTCATGAAAAGGAAGGGCGTGCCTCACAAAGCTGGGACGCAGACCAAGCGGTGAGACACCTCCACTGTCAGTGCTGTGCAGATAGAGGGGAAGATAGCCCTGAAAGACTTCTCAGAGGCAGAGGAGGGTAGATGCAGTCACTTCTGTAGCATCTGGTCAGCACGCTGGGCTTGTTTAAAACAGAGTAGGAAGGTGAGAGACACGGTGGCCTGGACACTGTAGGTCTCATTTTTACTCTTGAGACACAGGTATTTATCATCCTAACACCAACTAGAGGAAAGGGGACCTGGATTCAAATCCCAGCCCGTTTTGTAAGCTGTGTTATATGGGCACTCGCCCTCTTTCAACCCCAGCGTCCCTGTGGATGAAATGATTTGAGGATGGAGTCACCAGACGAGACCTGAGGATCCCCTGGAGAGGAGATGGGGACCTCAACCCAGCCTGTGTAGATTCCTGCCTTGACCGCAGGAAAGTATTTTAGGACATGTCCGTGAGAGGCATGGGCTGATGTATTAGAGTTAGAAAGTAAGAAAGCAGGAAGAGACTTTGGCTCCAGGAGCCGAGGAGGCACCTCTAACAGAGAGGATCAGACCAGCCCCTTAACGAACGAAGGAATGAGACCAGCTGAGGGTGCATTGGGGTGGGTGAGAGCCCTGGTTTGCAGAGCGGCTCCAGGGAACCCAGTATTGGTGCTCATCCGGTCCCCTTGAGAAATCATTTCCACTTCAGGCAGTCTTGGTTTTGCAGTGGAATCCAAGGTGACTGTGAGTTCCAGTCAGTGGCCGGGAACATCTAGGTGCTCACTGACAGTCAGATGAGCCTGTGACTCTCTTACTTTGGTGTCCTCAGTCTGCAAGGATGAGCCAGGTGATGCAAATTTAGGGTGGATCATCTTGACTGCCAGCATCCAGATGAATGCTCCCTAAAAGATTAACGTGGCTTCGTGCAGAGCCAGGCAGGGATCTGACTCAAAGTTTTAAGATCATAAGGAGACAGATATGAATGAAAGTCAAGCTGTGTTCTGCCTTTTTGCTTTTCTTTTCTCTAAGCTACATCTCCAGACCTTTTAGTATTTGGTTGATTGGTTGGTTGGTATTTGTAGTGCCAGGTATCGAACCCAGGGCCTCATACCTGCTTGGCAAGTGCTGTGCCTCTGAGCCACATCCCCAGCCCTTTTTTTGAAACAGGGCTCTCATTAAATTTCCAGGGCTGGCCTCAGACTTGCATTCTCCTTCAGCCTCCCAGGTAGCTGGGATTACAGGTATGTGCCACCACACCTGGCTCCCGGCTCTTTTTATTTTATTTTTGGAGGCAGATCTTGCTAAGTTGCCCAGATTAGCTTTGAACCTGAAATTCTCCTGCCTCATCCTCCTACTTAGTTATTTTCAACAATGTAATAATACCACCAAAGACAAAAGCTGAGGCTTTCATAATTACCTGTGTCTAACTGTATGGTTCCTTTCAATCTGCCCTTCTAGGGGGTTTTTGTGAATTTCGAGTAACATAAAATCATCTTTCAGATCACAGGTGTTCAAAATCTAGTTTCAAGTAAAAATAAAGATCACCCTTTTCCCTTGTTTACATTTGTGTTATAGTAGTTTAATCTTAATTTGGGGGGATAGTGCTACTGGGTTTTTGGAGAGCTGGAGTCTCCTTCTAGAGGTGGTTTCTAGGTTCTTTCTGTCCTGAGCAAAGAACTTGTCAAGACAAACGCAAACAGTTGCAAAGTTTTATTAAAAGTAGGAAAAGAAACGCTCTACAGAGCAAGTTTGAGCCAAGGAAAAGAAGTACAGCTTACGGTGTGAGTGTGGACCACCGTGTAAGAGCACACACAGCAGCAAAACCCACTGTGGACTGTCCTTTTGTATCACACGCTCGCCAGGCTGACGTCAGGGCTAGGCTGTCCTATTGGAGAAGCCTCGTGCAGGGCTTTGGGAACTGTCCTGAGCACGGGTTCCAGGCATGCCTCCTTTCATGGGCAGGTTTAGCCACACCCTACATTCCTGTCTCACTAGTGATGATACCAGAGATGAAATATGAAAATATTGTATCTCCCGGTCTGTTAGATGTCTGACATGCCGAGCTCATGTTCTCTAAAAATCAAAGAATGAATTCAAGGAACAATGGAGGTTAAGAGAAGGAAATGTTTATTGAGAGAATAGCTCCCCAGAGGCAGGAGGGGTCCCGAATGGGTAGCAGAGGACCCCACGTTACAGGGAAGTTTTATAGGGCAAAACCCATGTGGGTACAATGTGAGTTAAAGCTGTGATCAACCAATAAGGCTACAAGCATAGTCGCTTAGGTGACAGTGATCCAATGGGGGAAATGAGTCACGTGACAAGGGTGCATGGAAAGAATCAAGGCTTTTTCTAGGAAATGGTGGGTCCAGTTGTCTTGGTGGGAAGACCGATGTGTATCTGGACTTCATTAGGCCAGGTGTTCATCAGACCACTTACCTTGTCCTGTGGGGCAGTGTGCCAGCCTCATCATTTTACCTTTGTCTTGAGGCCTGGCCTCCAACAGATGTGTCTCCAGCTACAGTTGTGATGTGTTTTACCTTTGTCCTGACTCTCAGGGCCCAACCCTATCAGACTGCCTATAATATCTCTGTCTAACTTAGCTGTTTATAATAGTGATGCAGCTCACTGACAGAACACAAGCTTAACATACACAAGGCCCTAGGTTCAATTTCCAGCATCAAACAAACTTGATAAAAACCTTAGGATACACTTATACTTCTTATTCATTACCAAACACTGTGGAGCCATGTAATTCCCAAGTAACCGTCAATTAAATCCATCCTAGATAAGTTTAAGGAAATAAATGTCCCTAAACCACGGGTATAGACTCAAGAGTGAGACTTGAACTAAACAGAGTAAGAATAAAGGCAATTAGAAAACCCAAACTAAGAAGACATTTTAAGGCTATCTGAAGGGTGGCTGTTTTTCCGCAAGTGTGATTAATGTAAACCTAAAATACTGAACTCTAAAATAATGACACGGATTAATTCCTGGTTTGCTTTCACTTACTGCCTCTGACTGTCTTCTGGTAAAACCCTGAGAAGCTGTTTTCAGATAGTCTCTGACGTGACACTTGGGGAAATCCCAAGATCTCATGTTCTTTTGTTGCACCAAATAGGGACAGAGCCCACCGTTTACCCTCCCTGCATCCCCCCTACAATTTTCAAAGGAAGAGCACAGGGGCAGAAAATAATAGGACAGTTAACTTTTTAAAATAGGAGCTCATGTTGGCTTTTATGTTGGCTACGAGAAATGTTTGAGAGTTTGACACCACCAGAAGCTGTTCAGTCAATATGTGAGGAAGCCACCTGCCTGGCATCACACTGTAGTCCCTTGAAGGGTCTCAGTTCTGGATGATTTTGACAATCTAGTCATTGCCAAGCCAGAGGCACAGAGACTTCCAAGGAGGTCAGAGAAGAGAAACTGCTCACCATTCCTAAGTGAAGATTTCAGTCTACATCTAGTTAGAGAGTAGAGAAAATAGAATTGTTCAATTTTTACAGGCTCCAAGCCTCCCACAAGTGAGTATAGCCCAATAAGATGGACTATGTATGTCCTAAGAAGGAGAAGCTTAAAATGGGGAAAGATCTGTGCTCTGGAACCGAAAGGCCGTGTCAAGTTACCAGTTCTGCTTTAAAATGAATATAGGCTGGCCAATGTCTGACCCTCACTTCCCTTGTGTATAAATGGATCCTGTAACAGTAGGAACCAGGGGCTTTGCACGTTACAAAGTGCTTTGCAAACTGTAACAATACCCAGCAAGTTTGCTCTGGGATTTATGCACTGTCAGCTTAGGCGAGAAAAACCTCCCCGACTCAGGACACTTTGGCCTCAGCTCTCTTCTTCTAGGTATTACTATGGCCAGTCACCTTATAAGCAGATGCCTCTAACGGGCTGACTCAGTAGAAGACTCAGAACCACTTCTGTTCAGAAACCTTCTGCAGCACAAATTGACTGTAGATTTCAAAGAAGCTTTTGCTAAAGCAGAGAACCCTGCAATAAACCAGTAATGTCTGTGAAGCACACCTTTCACCTTACTTTTCCTGGAAAAGGAAAAAAAGCTTATCTCTGACTCCTTGACACCTCCTAATATCCTGTGAGCCCTGGAGAGGCCAAGTGAGGGCCTCGGCTCAGCAGCTGTGAGAGCTGTTAGAATTGCAGGCTTGTAGACCCTGCCCCAGATCTACTGAATCAAAGTCTTCATTTTAACAAGCTCCGTGGGTGACGCACACCTACATTTAAGTTTGTATTCTGACCGTCCAGTAGCCAGGCCGGAAGCTAGGACCGGCTGCTATCTGAATTCTCTCTCTACAGTGAGAGCCTGAGCCATTTCAGATAGCTTTGGTTTCCTCGTGACACGGAGGAAGGTCTGTGTCTGTGGTGTCCACACAATGTCTGGGACACACAAGGGCCTGAACAGTGCTGTCTTAGAGGCTACAGCAGGGGCAGAAAGGACAAAAGGAGGAGACCCTCCCCTCAATCACATCCACTATCCTAAATTTTTCATAATAATTCAGTTGAGAGAAAGATTCTGTTGTTTAAAAATGAGAAAGTTTAGATCCTCCAGCTCTAAAACCCGCTGATTTGCATCTGTGTGGTCAAAAATGAGTCCTTGGCTACTGATTATTGGAAGGAAGTGGCAGTGCTTCCCGGTCTGCTGGTCTCTGCCCTGAATCGGTTCAGGACTTGGTTTCTGTTTGTCTCTGGGCCTTGGAATTGTTGTGGGCAAGTTTTACCAGCAGGGCTCTCTGGCTGCCTCCTGCAGTGAGCATCAGCGGCCTGCTGGGCCCTGGGGACAGTGCTGGGAGAGGGCCTCCTCCCATTAGGATCACAGTAGAATGCCTGGGTCACTTCTCAGCAGCCCTGTTCTGGTCGCCTTTGCTCAACGCCCCCAAGCGCTCTAACTCTTTCATCACTATAAATACTAATCCTTGGTAGGGCTCTTCACAGGCAAGAATGGATAGGATTTAGTCTCTGCCCTCGGGGAACCACTTCTAGGCCTCCTGCTTCTTAGCCCCAGGTTTCCTTCCTGTTACCAGGCTTTGTTGCTTTGTGATCCCCTGCCCAGATCCACCATCAGGTGGGTTTCTGATGGTGCACAAATACCCGTGTCCATATGTTGCATAGTGGCACCAAGCCGGTAGGATGATGGGAAGAAATCAAGACCCCCTGCAATTTAAACAGGAAGGAGTACCTAGGCCAATGAGACACAGAATACAATCCAAAAGGAAAAAGCAAATCCTCTGTACGTGAACATTTGTGTTGTTTCCAAGTTTTTGCTATTAAACAACTGTGATACAATAGCAGGAAACATACATCTGTATGCGCATCTGTTACCACCACTGACGACATCCCACACCAGTGACTGCTGATGAAAGGATGTGTGGGGATGTAGCTCAGCAGCAGAGCGCGGCCTCGTTTGTGCAAGGCCCTAGGTTTGATCTCCAGCACTGCAAAAGAGAAAAAGCGAATGAAAGGGTGCATGTGTTGTAATACTTGGGATACATTGCCCCAAACGTCAGCTTGTTTGTATGTATTTCAAACTAAGCCTGCTCTTTTCTCCCAGGCCAGACCTGTTGAGGTCTGAAGGTATCCCTAGCACAGAGGTGGCTCCCACCGCATCCCCTTTGTCCGGAAGTCCCAAAATGTCCACCTCAAGTAGCAAGAGCAGGTATCGGAGCAAACCGCGCCACCGCCGGGGGAACAGCAGAGGCAGCCACAGTGACTTTGCAGCCATACTGAAAAACCAGCCGGCCCAGGAAACCTCACCCCAGCCCCCTTACCTGCATCAAGCTCAACCCCAATACCAATACCGGCCCTCCCCGCCAGCCGCGCCTCAGAGTCACCATCCCAGACTCGGCATGCACGGACAGGACATCGCCACCTGCGCCAACAACCTGCGGTATTTCGGCCCCGCGGCGGCGCTGCGGAGCCCGCTCAGCAACCACGCTCAGAGACAGATGCCGGGCTCCAGCCCCGACCTCATCTCCACAGCCGTGGCGGCTGATTGCTGGAGAAGCTCGGAGCCTGACAAGGGCCGGGCTGGGCCTTGGGGCTGCTGCCAGGCCGACCCTTACGACCCCTGTCTCCAGTGCAGGCCGGAACAGGGCGGGGTCTTAGATGACCCCCCTGCCGACCTTTCCAAGTCACCAGCACACAGTCCACTCTCAGAGGACGCCAGCGGCTCTGAGAAAATGCAAGAAGATGGATTCAGCGGCTGCGGGTCCGCGTCGTCCCTCGGCCTCCCTTGTCACGCCACGCCCCCCACGCTACCTCGGAAACCAAGGCCCCTTCAGAAGGTAAGGTATGCGGCGAGAGGGGCCTGTCCCCCCTGCCTCCCGAGGACGTCTTTTGCACACCAGAAACAAGCATTAGAAAGTCTCCATTTTAGAAAAGAAAGAGTTAACAAAAACACAAAGTTTCTTTCACTTTACTTTTCACACCATTTAAGTGAGCGACTAGGAGTACAGTTTGGGAGCTACTGGAGTGGGGACTGATTCAAAGGTAGATAATCCGTGGATAAGCACGTAACAGGGAAATAAAATCAAATAGCCTGGAAACCCCTACCTGAGGATTCTAGTCTTGAGGGAAGGTTGCTTCCAGAAAGAAGCATCTCTCTATATAATAGTTTGAGAAGCAGCATTCTCAGTCTCCTGATGGAGAGTCCTAGTGCACACTGACAGAAATCACACTTTTTGTTTAGTTTTATATTTTGAGATCAGGTCTCACTATGCAGTTATGGCTAGCCTTGAAGTCACTATGTAGCCCAGGCTGGCTTTGAACTCATGGCAATCCTCCTGCCTCAGCCTCCAGAGTGCTGAGGGATTACAGGTGTGCACCACCACACCCAGCTCATATGTCATTGGGCTTTGGGAAACCATGTGGTAAACTTGTGAGAACCAGCGCTTCTCTCACCTATTTAACCTTTAAAGTAGCATCTGTTCATCCCGCGTGGAACTAGCTTTCTTCACATTATATTTATAAAGTAAATCTCGGTACTTGGGAAACTGAGGTGGGAGGATTGCAAGTTTGAGGCCAGTCTGGGCTACATACCAAGACTCTGCTTCAAAAAACAAATATACAATTCACATACCAGAAAGTCTTTTCATTTAAGATGGCAGGTACAAGGGTGCGCACCTATGATCCCAGCTTCTCAGGGGGCTGAGGCAGGAAGATCACGAGTTCAAAGTCAGCCAGGGCAATTTAGCAAGACTCTGTCTCAAAAGAAATGAAAAGGGCTAGGGATGTAGCTCAGCACTCCCTGGGTTTAATCCCCGGCACTAGAAGGTATACAGTTCAATGTTTTTTAATCCACATAATTCTGTAGCCATCATCCCAAAAGGAAGCCACAGCCTTTGAACAACCTAGTGCCACCAGACACAAGTCTTGTAGGCTTGGCCTCATTAGCACCGAGAGCCCACCCAGCAGCTCCCAGCCCTTTGCTGAGAAGGGGCCATGCCAAGGGGAAGCGCTCCCAGCATCCTACATCTCTGTCCCCGCCTCCCTGTGCAAAACTGTGTCACAACACATGAGGACATGTCATAGGGTTTTTTAACTTCCAAAAAGGTAAACTGTCCTCAACTTTGGACTCAGTCACTTGGACCTAAGTACGCAGCTTGTAAGAGTGTGCCTGCTTCATTGCGTCTTGGTGCTGTAGTGAAGGGCAGTGACCTTGAGCGCGGCTGCTCTCTCCGGTGTTGTGTTCAGCTGGGTCCCTTCCCCAGCCTTCCAGGTCACCCACAGGGCCTGGCAGCCACGGGGCCTCAGGCGTCCCACAACCCAGCCGACTGCGGATGCAATAAAAATGCATGGAGTGCCTTTTCTAAACTGGCAAGTGAGACCCGTGTGTATTTATGACGATAAACACCTGCTCGTGTGCAGTGCTGCACTGGAATAAGGAAAACGACACAAGCAAGATGTGCCCCAAGAATGTGTGTCCTGCACAAGTGCAACACTGGTGACAGAGTGGTCAGTATAGAAACGGGGAGAGAGTGAACTGAAAGATGGCTTCTTGTCAGATTTCTACGGAAAAGCCTGAACCACTCGTGACAAAGATGAGGAGTGTCCCCAAATTTAAGACAACCTCTCCAATTTCCCCCTCATCACTCAGCTCCCTGAGGGCAAAAATTAAATTCTAATTGGGGAGAGAGGTCTGTACTGGGGAGTGAGCCCAGGGGTGCTGTACCACTGAGCTACACCTGCAGACTTTTTTATTTGAGAGAGGGTCTCATTAACTTTCCCAGGCTGCCCTTGAACTTGCAATCCTAGCCGGGCGTGGTGGCACACGCCTGTAATCCCAGCACTCGGGAGGCTGAGGCGGGAGGATCACTGTGAGTTCGAGACCAGCCTGGGCTACATAGTGACTTCCAGGTCAGTGTCAACTACATTGTGAGACCCTGTCTCAAAAAAAAAAAAAAAAATGTGAACTTTCAATCCTTCTGCCGCAGCCTCTCAGTAGCTGGGCTTACCGATGCTTGCTGTTACAGCTACCCTGCTCCCTTCTGTGTCCTCCAGCATCTCCTACAAGGCCTGTCATTTTGAGCACCAAGGACAAGTTGCTAAATGAATAAATGAGGAACCATATGTTAAAAATGACATTCAGTAAGCTTTTACCAAAAGCCTCTTGATGATAATTTAGTCTCTTGCAGATAGTGGGAAGCAGGGTGGGGAACATGAAAAGAAATACAAGTCTTTCCCCTTGTTCTCCTCAGAGCGGAGATGACTCTTCGGAAGAAGAAGGGGAAGTAGATAGTGAAGTTGAATTTCCACGAAGACAGAGGTAAAACCAATGTCTGCTCCTGCCCTCAGTGGAATGGGGGATCCTGGGTTTCCCACTAGCGCTGTCCAAGCACAGGTCACCCTGACAGCCCCTCATGGGGATTGGAACTCCCTGTCATAGTTGGAAAGTTGTTCGTGGGCGCGTGTGTAAACACAGCGCAGGACGCAAGGCAGCGCGTTGGCGCCGTGTGAGGGCGGCCTCGCGGGTGTGGGTGAGCCCTGCCCGCTTCCTGTGTGCCTGCCTGTGGCAATCAGCTCGGGCTGCAAGGACAGAATACCCAGCCCGGTTGACAGCAGAGACTTAGTTCGTGGTCTCGCATTGCTGGAGGCTGGGAAGGCAGGGCCAAGGGAACACCCAAACTGGCTCCCAGGGAGAGCGCGCCGGGCTAGGCGGCCGCCTTGCTGTCCTCAGCGGGCAGGGAGGAAGAGCGCCTGGGGGTTGAGTGGCCCCGGTTCTGCGCTTGCAGGCCGCATCGCTGCATCAGCAGCTGCCAGTCGTATTCCACGTTCAGCTCGGAGAACTTGTCGGCGTCCGATGGGGAGGAGGGGAACACTAGCGACCACTCCAACAGCCCCGCCGCGTCAGCCGGGAAGCCCGAAGGCCGCCTGGCGGAGCAGCTGGACGAACTGCTGTCGCGGACGCCCGACCTCCCCATCGACATCGGCTCCCACTCCGACGGGCTCTCGGACAAGGAGTGCGCCGTGCGCCGCGTGAAGACGCGGATGTCCCTGGGCAAGCTGTGCACCGAGGAGCGCGGCTACGAGGTGGGTCACGTGACGCTGCGGGCGGAGGGGTCCGGGCCCCTCACTCCACCCGCTGCCGCCCCCTCTGCCCGTGAGTACATTTCAGGCTGGGCACTGCCTTCGAGGCAGGGTGGCGAAGTTGTCCGCCTGTTCCCTGGGCTCGGGCCGCCCACCCGCCGATCTAAGCCTTTCCGGTGCTAGGTGACCCAGGGCAGGACACTCGGCCCCTCGGAGAGCGTGAGGATGGGGATGACCACATGGGTCCCCTCTGTGAGGTGCGCCCGGCCTCGCCTTCTTACTGCGAAGATGAAATGGTTGCCCGGCTCTGGTGACAGTGCCCCAACATAGTAAATGCTACACAGAGGAGGCGGAGGCTCCCCTGCCGGTGTGGTCGCGTGGTCCGTGTGGCTCTTTTCTCAGTACGCCCCACAAGAACAGGACCCCCAGCCCCTTCAGCTCTGAGCCCCCTCCCCAGCACAGTACCCATCCCGAGGGGTGGTCGGAATGAATGAATCCTGCCTTTGTTTGCCTCTGCAGAACCCCATGCAGTTTGAAGAGTCAGACTGTGACTCTTCCGGGGCGGAATGCTCCGATGCCACCGTGAGGACCAATAAACACTACAGCTCCGCCACCTGGTGAGGAAGGAGAGCCGTCCTGCCCATCCCACGGCACAGTGGCGTTTCAGATTCCCCAGCTCTCCCGCTCTCTCCCTTCTCCTTCTGGGAGGAGCACTGCCCCATCCCCACCCCTAGAAATGAGCTGCAATAACAGGCACAGGAGACTTCGCAAATCTCTGGAAAAAAAATATCCAAATGAAATTGTTTCATTGAACATTTCAATCAAGAATGGCAGGGATCTATTTTATTGAATATTCTAGCTACTGTAACATTGATATTTATTTTTCTTGGACATTTTAACACTTTGTACTGTAAAGAATGAACTATATATGGCAGAGACACAATAATTTCTTGCAAAAAAAAAGGGAAAGGAAAAGAAAGAAGTGGACTTTAGGAGCAACATCCTTGGGAATTTGAGGTATTACTGCTGCTTGAACAGGGGACCAGGTCTTTCGGTCATAAGTGACTGAAGAAGAACCAGAGCAAGACATTATCGAGCATTTTAGAAAACAAAGAATACAAAGGAAAAAGCAATTCCAGGTAACTTGTGAACAGATACTTAAGTTCAACCAGCTTGTCCAGGTGGGTGATGGAAATGACCTAGAAAAGTTTGGTGACCAGACACTCGCACTGGAGTCTTTGAAGGCTGTGCTTCCTCTAAGAGGAAAACCCAACAAAACTGAACATGGGGGAGCTGCTTCCATGTTTTAACTTTCGCAGTGAGGCTTACAAGACAGTGTCACGCCTTGCCCCTGGCACATACTTCCCTTTGTGATGCTGTCACTCTCGTTACTTTGACAAATGTGTCACCTTGACCAATGTGTTGTTGATCTTTCAGATTCAAGTGCCATTTTCCAGTGGTTTTTCCCTCTCCAGCTGTCAGCCACTTCCTTTAGGAAAGGACTGGGGTGGGAGGGGTTGCTGAGGAGGAGAAAAGGGTAAGAAAAAAAAAAAAAACATCTGCAATGATAATAGGAAAACAAGTGTGGAATCTGCAAAAGTATGTACTCAGGATGCTCAGGTCAGCTGTGTGGAGAAAATGGAACCCCCCCTCTCTAGAAACATGTTCCTTGTCTACTAGAATCATATTGATTCAAACAGAACAGAACTTGAAGGCAGCAAGGATACGTGTATGTATGTGTGTGTCCCTTGTCCGATCCCAGACCATCCCCTTGTTTTTATTCCTTAACTCATTCTGTCCTTGGAGCTTTAGTGATAGGCTATCACCATTGGAATAAAGGCAAAGCGAGCCACGTGCAAAAGGCTCACCCCATAATAGCATTTTTGTTCAGTGCTACTTGTAAAATATATTTTACTTCACTCCGAATCAGTGCAGCTTTTATTAATTGGACTTAGAAATAGGTGAAGAGAACAACTGATTCCAAGCAAGGAATTGGAAAAATTTTCCATCATCAAAGGCATGAGCCGTTCCTGTCTCAAAGGTCACGGGCTCTGAAGAGCACCCCAAGGGAATCCCTGGTGCCTTGGCTTTAAGGAACATTTGATCTAGAATTTTACAGGCAAGCTTTGCGCAGTGGCAGTATCGTAGCCAATGAGGTTTATCCGAGGTACGATTATTGCTAATAGAATTTTAAAGACAAACAGAGGTTGACCTACTTCCTGTCTCTGTCTCCAAGATCAGTTACTGTCAAACAGCCTCTCCATCCTTGCTGGAATTTCTGACCTTGCATCAGGTGGGATGTTAGGAAAGTCTTGCACATACAGGTACTAAACCATTTCCAGGGAGGATGAAATCAGGGCTCCCTCCCCTGGGTGTCACTGACTTCATCAGCCAAAAAGGAAAGACAGGAGGGAATTTAGAGCAGTTCCTTTTGTTTGTTTGAGCCCTCCATTTGTTTACACTTTATGTTGAGACATTGATTTAGAATGTAGTGTCTATACTTTATAGCTTATAGGATGAAGGAAAATGTTTAACTTATACAGAGAACAGTATTGTTTGCATTAAATTATTCCCATTTTGTATCACTTCTGTAGCTGGACTACATGAAAGATCTTAAGTTATGGCATTATTATCATTGTTATTTTATATTATCATTCTTATTTTCTGTAGATCAGAAGGTGTGGTTTACAATGTAGCACAATAATTGTGTTTATTGCTGACCATGGATTATTATGAATTTTATGATTTGAATGAAGGCATGAAAATGGAACTGCCATATGTAGCTCTCTGGTCTCCATCTTAGCTGTGTTCCCCGACTTTCTGTGTACAATAACAATCATCTGAGGGTGCGTGCTCTGCCCTGAAGCCCCACGGTTACATTGGGATTTGGGCTTGACTGTGAAAGTGCCTGGGTGGGTAGATGATGGAGTGGGTGGACAAATAATTTAAAAGCTGTAAACGTTCCCAAATTTCATGAGAAATAAAGTCATGGGACTACATTAGAATCAAAAAGAGAATTATTTAATACCCTGAGAAGAACAGATCTAGACTTTCTACAGGGGGCTCGTTGATTTGTTTCAAAACTTAGAGTAGTAATTTCCTTCCTGCCAGATTCCACAAAACCAACATTTTCCCCCTAAGTAGGAGGAGCAGGAAGACTTTAAAAAGAGAGAAAGAAAAACATATATATGGCATGACATACAATGTCTAGCTGTGATGCCATCCCATAACCAGACTAAAGAAATTCAAGAAGGTACGACACTCAAAACACTTGAGTCACGTAGAGGATCACAGGGCCGGGCAAGAGCCTCGAAAAGCTGGTTTCAGGTCTTGCTTACACCATGACCCTCTCGGCGTCACCACTGCTCAGAATGGAGGTGCGAGAACTCCAAATCCTTTTTCTGGTCAGCACAAAACATCGGCACATTGGCACATCAGTTCGTTCATTTTTGCCCACATTTAGTGGCATCAGAGAAACATGCAAGTCGCTTTCTGTCTCACACATTTCAGTGAGGGTCTTCCTAGAAAACCTGTCCCATACCTCATCATTCTCATTGACTTCTGAATTCCCCCCGGGGGGGTCCGTCATGCTAATGCCACTCTCTCCAGATTGACTCTCATGAGTTTGTCAGGGAAGTAGATAGTGTCAAATCCTCGGTCACTCACTGTATTGTCAAGATGTGAATAAAGTCCACATTGAACACTTTTTTTTTGGTAGAACTGACTAGGGGTTTCCGAGAATGGTGTCCTTCATCCAGGTTTAAAAAACAACTTCTGCACCCCAGTCTTGTCCTTCATTGCTTGCCTCCTGAGAACCAGGGAAATGTTGAATTGGTGTGTTGCTTTGAGAACAGCTCCACAGCCACCAGAAGAATATTGAATCAAGAACTCCAGGAAGCTAATTCTTCAGGTCTTGTCAGCTGCAACAGGGCTTCAAGGAACCTCACAGGACTGTGATTTCCAGCAACATCACTGACTGAAAGCCGAGCTGCCCTTGGAATGAATGTGCACGTTACGGAACATCTGTTTTTGACTGACATCAAGATATGTTTCCGTTTCTATTGCTGACCAGCGCTTAGTTTAAGTTTTTTTTTTTTTTTCTAGATCATGTCCCCAATAACAATGGACCTTACACCTCCAAAGAAAGCTTAGACCTGTTTGCAAGGTTGTGAGGTGCTCTATCCAGAAAGATGACGGTGTTGTCTGGTGTAAGGTAATTTGGGATAGCCTACTTGAAGTTAACTATTTTCAAACTTTAGTATCAACAAATGTGTCTTTCCGGGAGTAGGGTCATTTTTAGCAGAATTTAATAAGTACTGGCCATTTATTTTGGGGCCTTGCTGTGCTAAATTATTCCCTTATCTCACCCAAAAAATCACAGATGTGCTGGTTTGGATTTTTCTGGTATAACCAAGACTAATTAAAATGCCTTCCCCACTGTGGGATACTCACTAACACCCTCTCAGTATGAATGCATTCCTCTTCTTTTTGGTACTGGGGATCGAACTCAGGACCTTGTGCTTGGGAGGCAGGTGGCAGCACCACACAAATGCACTCTTCTTGATCAGATGGCTCACTTTTTTTTTTTTTCCCCCATACCTTTAGGTCTTTTTTTTTTTCTCCTTTTCTTGAAACATTCCTATTTAAACTTCCTAAAACTGAACTTTTCCAAGCAGAAAATATTTGAAATCCAAGAAATTCCTTCCTTGCTCCACAGTACAGTGTGGTATACTTTGTGTATCTACTGGGCTAGAAACAAAAATACCATCTGCCACCTTCATCCTAAACACCTAAGACCATATCTATAAGCACCATATTCTTTCCATGTTCAGCTGCAGAACCACTCACAACTCTGCGCTTGAAGCAGCATTATCATTTGACTGGAACTGATGTGCAAAGGGAAATCCCACCATCCCACTTTGAATTTCATAATCAATTTCCAAAAGGTGGCCTTAGATCTTGAGTTTGTCCTGGCGGGAGAATGATAGGATCCTACCAGTGTTCTCCTAGCAGAAGCCACAAAGGCTGGTAGGGGTGGCACTATGGCAGGGAAAGGTCACTTGCCTCTCCTCACTGCCCTTTTGGACTGCATTTCCAACTGAATAATCACCTACCACTGATGGATCAAATTCCAAAACGTCTCTTCATTTATATCCTCTATGTCAAATGAGCATGTCCCTTGAGATTTGTGTGACATTCTTTTTGAGACTTTGACTAATCCTGTCAGTATGAAATTAGTGCCTTTCTAGGCAGCAAGGTTTTCTTTGCTGATTTCATAGAACAACTGTCCCAGTGTACTCACAGACCGGCCTTAGAATCCTGTTGGCCTGCTGCTTTGCTTGTTATAGCCAGTATTGCAAAGGCTTATTCACCTTGGAACACACTGGGCCACTAAGTAGAGGACCCTGTGGAACCTGGAGCATTTCTCAGGGACAGGTGGCAGAAGTGGGGAGCTCTGAAATCACTGCTCTGAGAAACAGGAAGAAAACTAGGTTCAGGTTTTGGTTAACTGCCATGCGGCCATGAGTGATGGCAGGATTTCCCAGAGCCAGGCCCCGAGCAGATGGCAAGGCCACTATGAGGAAGTGGGATCCAGCAGGATCCCAGCAGTACTGCTTCCCGGAGCCACTTCTCAGCACTCAGGGGATCCCTGACTCTGGCCCCAGGCTGCTGTCCAGTGACACGGTCCTCCCGTGGTTGCAAGCCAGCGGCAACCCCAGCCAGAATGTTAGCTCTTAGTGAGACAGCCCACTTTAACCTCCAGGGTGAGCACTTCCCGGGCTGCAGGTAGGAAGACCCTCTGGTTCGGTATCACAATAATTTGAGTTCCTATTAACTTGCAGCAAATGAGTTTCTTTTTTGTGGTCGTCTCAAAATGAACTCCCTCACCTGTCTTCCCCTGTAATCTGTACTGTCCGTGCCCGACCCCTGTGTTGTTTTCTGATGTTTGTACTGAAAAGCAATGGAAACAAGAACGACTATCAAAGCAAAACAAATGCATGGGATTAAACAAAAAGTGTACTTCACTGTCTTCTGGTTCCGTCTTGTTCCTAAACGTATTGCTTGTGTCCTGTGGGCTACCTTGACAGGCCTCAGTGCTGGTCAGACATCAGGAAATGAAGACGTCACATGAATGGGTTTTCTGTGACCAGAAAAATGTGTGATGGAGAAAGCCAGTTTCCACGACTCTTGCATTTCAGTCACAACCACAAAAGGAAGAGATAACCATCATTTTCGTTATAGTCTCTTCTTGAGCTTTCCTCAGAGCCTAGACAGGCACTCTGCTTCTTTCTGTGCTCTTCTGCTGCCCATCTTGCAGCCGCTCCTAGCCCTAATGACACTACTATAACACGAGCAGAGACAGGAAAATGGAAATCTGTGACAATTTTGGTCAGAGGCCTACTGAGAGTGGCAAGCTAAAGCACCACTTTGGATGGTCTGCTCTTCAGTCAGTCCTGAGTCTTTGATGAGGGCAGTTGAAATTTAGCAACATGTAGAACCAAGCATTTATGTCCGTTTATTTAACACAGACTGTTTCTATCCATTTATTTGGGAAAGTGCTTTACCTGTAACTCATAACCAATAAGGCACATTTTTGGAAAATCATGCAAGAAGAAGGAAAAAGACAAAACTAAGGGTCCTGAAAAGGGACAAGGGACACACATTTGCAACAGGATAGGGAACTCACTTCTTCCTTCCCCCTATTCCAAAAACTAATAAGTCGCCACTATCAAAGTGGCTTCCTCACCATCTTTTCCTGAAAGAAACATTATTTTTATTGAAATCCAAAAGATTCCTACTGCCTCCAAAAACACTATTTGGGAGTCCACTTTTCCTGTGGAACATGGTTATTCTCAAGAATCCACGTAGAACAAGAGACCTAAATTACATCCTTGGCAAGGTTCTTGGGCAACCCAAATAAAAAACCCAGCAGATGATGCCCAAGGGTAACAGTTCCAGTAAGCTTCAAGGAGGATACCAGGTCAGGTGCCAGGGTCCATCTGTTCTTAGCGGCAACGACCCAGGCTTTATACCAAACCAACCATAGTTACAGGAAGCAATGACAGCTTTAAGTAATTACAATACAACCCAACCAAGTAATCAGGCAACTCTATCTCTTTGAATTAAAAAAAAGAAAAAGAAACAACTATTCCTCAGGTATTCTCAGCAAAAGACAAAATGAAAAACATTCATGGGACACTGGCTGGTAGCCTCGCATATGGAATCACTCTGCTAGCAGGAAGAGGTAGAAGGCACACAGAAAGGACACACCAGAAAATGTACAGATGGTCACTGTACTCGCATTGTCCAAGGCCCTGCCCTGTCTGGAACATATCCACAAGACACAGAGTGTGTTCCATTAATTTTTAATAGTCTGTTTGCAATCAGCTTAATTGTGAGGGCAGAGAGCCAGCAGATGTGACATACATGGACACCAGGGGACTGAACATAAGAGCATCACAAAAGTCACTGTGCATCTGAGCAATATGTGGAAGTCCTGGGTCATTCATCCACTTGATTCCCTTGGCTTACGGAAGAGGTAGATCATCAGCAACAAAGTACAGAACAAACATTCTCTGAGAGACTGACAGAAGAGAAGGGCCGCATCAGCAATGTGGGTTCCCAGTCAGCCCTGGCTTCCGTAACCTGAACAACTGCCACACAGCCTGTGCTCTGGACAGGGACAACCACCTTGTCCCAAGGCTGCCAGGGGCAGGCAAGAGGCAAACCCAACTGACCAACCATCCTGAGTTTTCTGTGGAATGAGCTTTACACAATCCCCCTTCCAGAGCAAAGAGCCCTTTTCCAAGATCAATGGCTTCATGAACCACATCCAGTATGCAAATCAGCAACAGACTTGAGGGAAAAGGTGAACCAATGGAAAATCCAGATCACGTGTCTTTTCTACTCTTTATGTAACTGGCAGCCCCCTTCTCATTCAATCGCAGGTGCTGCTGGCTGAATCTTTTAATGAGAGTTCCAGGAACTAAGGCCACCAGGGCCATGGCCAAGAGCTTCAGGACGGTCTCCCAGGAGAAGAGCGCATCCAGGGAGCTGAGGGTAGACAGGATGGAGCCAGTCTGCACACAGATGAAATTGTACGGGATCAAACCTGGACCAAGGAGGGCAAGAGCCTGTTAGTGGGGGCAGGGAAATTAAGAAAAGAACGTTTCGGGGCCAGGGATTGAGCTCAGGGGTTCAGTGGCCTGCCTTGCAAGCGCAAGGACCCGAGTTCAATATCCAGTACCAAAAAAAAAAAGAAAGAAAGAAAAGAACGTTTCAGCAGTGACCCCAGGAATTCAGTTCCTGAGTGACCCCAGTTGTCGGCCCAACTCCTGACCCAGAGCCACCATCACCTCCTCCTCTCCGTTCTGGTCTTTTCCTTCCTTTACTCACTTCCCATCTCTACCTGCCCACCCAACACAACACCTTGGTCTGCACACAGACATACCACAATGAGATACAGGTGTAAAGCTCAGAAAGACAAATAAGTGCAGAGGAGGAAATCAATGAGTGCAGATCAGGTGAGAACACAAACGCATAGAGTTCCTGCATTTACCAAAGATGGGCCCCAGATCTCGTTCTGAGTGTCCAACAGCCACAGCAAAGACTAAACCGCCATCACTGTGAGGTTCACATGATGCATAAGACTAAAAAAACAAATAGGGCTGGGGATTTAGCTCAGCGGTTCGGTGGCCTGCCTCGCAAGCACAAGGACCCGAGATCGATCCCCGGTACTGAAAAAAAAAAAAGTAGCTCACATTCTAAAAAACAAATAGCTTAGTGGTCGGGCACTGTATGCCATGCATGGCCCTGAGTTCAAATCCCCAGGACTGCAAAAACAAGTTCTTTTTTTAAAAAATTCTACTTTTCATATTCCATGCCATCTCTAAAAAGTAATCTAAGCCTCTGAAAGCCTAGCTAGTGGCCAGACAGGTTAGTCACACAACACCACCCTTATGAAAGCCTTAAAACACACAATTAGGCCCCACTGCAGAGACCCTGATTACTTGGTGCTGAGGTGGAGCCTGGAAGCCTGCATTTTAAAGTCTCTCCCCACCCCCGCTCTGAGTTTCTGATTGGCCTTGGGCCCCAACAATCCCTTTCTCTTCTACTACAGAGGAAATAGAGGGGAGAGGAAGGTCACAGACCACTCTAGGTCACACAGCTTGGACAGGAAGAAAACCTGGCCTCCAGAGTCTTCCCAAGCCACCTCAGTAACACATGCTGTTAACCCCCTTAGCTGAGGTGCCCAAGCGCTCTGTCTGAAAGCTGAGAGGGCAGGAACTGGCTGTGGTCGGCTTTGCTTTGACTTAAGATCTCTCAGGCCTTCCCTGTTAATAGCAGCTGCTCCAGCACAGATTTCCGTTAGGCCTGAAAGCCCCGAGTGTCAGTCCTGCCATACCCCAAGGAAGGTTTCAGAGAAGGCGAGCTTTACTTTAGGCTTAAAGGGCAAGGGAAGTAAGAGTAACCAACTTTCCAGGGTGTTAGCGCTTTAGCACCCTCACAAAGGTGGACCAAAGCCCACACTTGAAAACACTGCTCCGATCCCAGCCCTTAGAGGATGAGCAGCTTACTGGAGGTCGCACATTTGCCAAACCAAGCAGAGACTTTAGAAATCACCTAATTTGGGTGATTTCAAAACTCAGGATCCATCAAAATCCCTTCCAAGGAGTAGAGACTCATACTGGATCCTTGCATCACCCGGAAAACTTCAAAATATGCCGAGTCCTGTGTCCCATCCCAGAGATGATGGTACAGGGAATGGGCTGGCATGGAGTTCGGAGGTGGAGCACTTGGCTAGCAAGTGCAGGCCTAGGCTTTGTTCCCAACACCACATGCACACACACACTCACACACACACAGACCCCAGGTGATCTTTCATTTACTGTTGATTTCTATGCATATATACTTTGGCAGGAGGTGATGTTGGGGATTGACCAACTGAGAAACACTGCTTCATCCCCAGCCTTTCATCCGGCCAAGCCCCTAGAGGATAAGCAGCTTTCGGAATGTCATGCAATTATCAAAAGGCAAGAAGGCCTTACTGATGCCAGCTCTTCCTAAGACAGGCCAGAGCCAGACAGAAAGCCCCTTGCTCTGCTCCATTTTCGGCCCACACCCAGAACTCAGGCCCACACAACCTCACTCCGCTAGCATCTCCTCAGCACTTTCTGTGGGCCAAGGCGTGTGCTTCATTCACAGACGATCTCTGGCAATGCAAGCCTCGTGCCTAGCACAGTGCTCCATACTTGGTAGGCACTAAATACACACGGAGCGATCCTACTGATTCCGTAAGTATTTTTATGGGTTTCATGTTCGAGCCTGAGGTAGATTTAAAATCAGGAGCAACGATATGAGGTCACAGGCTGGAAGATGCTCTTCGGGAGCCTGTCTTCTTGGAGGCAGGCACACGCAACCCCGGGTAGTCCCCGACACGACAGCACCCAAGACTCAAACTTCCACTCTGGCACCTTACCGATCAGGACTGAGATGCAGAACTGCACGATGGGTACGTTCAGAACTGGGGCCGAGAGGTTTAAGAACCAGTTTGGTGTCATGGGGAAAAGTCTCAGAAACAGTAAGAAGAAGAACAGGCTGTCTCTGTTCTCCTCCACCTGCAGCAAGAGGACGGGGCAGAAAGTCACAAAAGGAACTGTCCTGGACACTGTGTGTTCCACCCCAATTCTTGCCACAACCCTCAGGGGATGGACTGTTTTTCAAACGGGAGCCTAAGGATCAGAGAAGCTGGGAGCTTTGCCCAAAGCCACAGAGCTGGGAATTTTTGTATTTTTTATTTTTTTTAAGACAAGGTCTCACTATTATACAGCTTAAGCTGGCCTCAAACCTATAATTCTCCTGCCTCTGTCTCTGAATACTGGGTGCACCAGCTCCCATGGCTCAGAGCTGGGATCTGATCCCAGGTCTGTGCCTGCTGGTGACACTAACAGAATCCTTGGATCTCCAAGAAAGGGTCGGGGGAACGCTGTGGGACATCCGGGTTCCTCACTGCCCTGGAGCCATGAGGTGACACTGGGCTGGAGCTCAGATGTGGCCCCTTCTTACCTTCCTCTGCAGCAGGGCCACTTTATCAGGAAAGTAGGAGACCACCAGCTGCTTGCCAAAAACACTGGACAGCACGTAGCAGCACGATGCACCCACTGAGGTCAGCACGCAGCAGAGCAGAAGCCCCAGCCATGGCCCAAACAAGGCGCCGGCTAAAACGTTCTGTGAAGAAACAAACACTCAGCCATGATGACACATGGCAGCTACAAGGTGCCTCATCCTGAAGCCCAAAAGCCATGGCTTCTCTGTCCTTCTTTCATTTCCCAGCCAAAACCCATCTCCCACTTAAAAGAGGTAAATGAAAAGGCTGGGAGCTACAGCCCTGAACTCAGTCTCTTCATCAGTTTGTTTCTTTGTTTGTTTTTTGAGACAGGGTCTCATAATATAGTCCAGACTGGTCTCAAACTCACAGCAATGCTCCTGCCTCAGCCTCCTGAGTGCCAGGATTATAGGAATGGGCCCCATGCCCAGCTCAGTCTCTTCATCTTTAAAACAAGGATTGGGGTTAACACTCCGAGGGCAGAGGCAAATGCACAGGGCCAATGTGTGTACTCAGTGCCCAGCCTGCTGCTGTGTGTAAACAGTGATGACTGGAGCTCTAAGAAAGTAGGAATGAAACTCACGAGGTTTGTTTACTACTTCAAAAGATGAAAACCCACCATGAATGTTCCTTCAGTAAGACCACGCAGGCTACAGAAGATTTTCTGTTGTTGTTAGTTTTTTGCTGGAATTACATCTATGTAGTATGCTCATACTGAAGTTTCCATGTTGACCAACATTCTAGCCGATGTTAGTCTTAGGTTCACAGAAATGGACAAGTAAACCAACATTTCCAAATGCAGTGTGGCTAGTAAGCATGATCCTGCCAAAGCCTGAAATCCAAAGGGAAAGCAGAAGGAAGCCTTGGCAGTGCGAAGACCTGCAGGGAAGACATGCTGAGCGTCTGAGTGTAGATGTCTTCCAAGTCATGCACTATCCTTACCCCATGCTGCGGGTGACAGATTAAGCCTCAGAGCAAGAGCATCCCCAGCAGGGCCAGGATGCACCCTCAGGTCCAGTTGTGAGGCCCCCATCAAACAGCAGCTGGCTCTCAGCCCTGAAGAGGGATCAGCTCAATGGGGAAGATGGGCCTGGGGCAGCCCCAAGGAGTCAGCCCCTAGGAGTCAGCCCCTGACCTGAGCGCCAAGCACCTCCCTTCCTCCCCAGACATGTCTGCTTATCTTCTAGTTTCCAACAGAATGCTTGGGGAGATCTAGGCTGAGCCAAGAGTGCAGAGAAGGTGCTGGGGGAAGAGAGGGAAGCAAACTGGACAAGAAGGATCTTTCAGGACTTCCTGCTCAGTCACTCGATCATGAAGTGCTGAGAGCCACTGCATGCCACCCACTGCTTCGTTTCTTATTCCCACGTAACGGTCGGAGGGCTTTCAGGAGGAAAACAGGGTTGGAAGGCTGGCAGGACACTGACCAGGAAACTGGAGCCAGGGATGGCAAAGCCCTGTTTGTAGAGGTAGGCGCTGCAGAAGAGCAAGAACACATAGGCCTCATGCTCCTTCCGGTACTCTCGAAGGACCTCGGAGAGCTCCTGCAGCTCGGCTAGGTCAGAAGGGAACCACAATGACCTGGAGATTTGGAAAATCAGATAGAAACAGGAGTCCGTATCTACCCAGTGACCAAGAACGTTACTTGCTGATTCTTTTTTCCAAGTAAGTTTATAAACATGCCCTTCACTGGCTCTGCAGGGAACACATATATAACCTGAACACCTGACGAGTGACCCAATACAACACAGCAGAGTGGACAAAAGAGGCAAGAGTCCTGGGATGGCATCCCCACTCTGCTACTTTCTAACTGTGTGACCTTGGGTCTCAGTTTCCTTATCTAAAAAAGGTGAGATGGTGCTGCGTAATCATTTAACTTCTCCCTTAAGTGTTAGATTTTATGAGTGATTGATTTTTGGTGCTAGGAATTGTAGTTCACATCTTTTGACTAACATTTCTGAGGCCCTGGGTTCCAAGATCAGCACTAAACAAAATACAAAACAGACAAACAAAACAATCCCATAACTTTCTTGATATCATGGCAGGCTTGAAAAGAGCCTGTTTTTTCACCCTATTAATTTGGGACTCAGGGCTCTCTGAGCCCTGTCCAAGGGTCGCAGTGCAAAGGTTGACTCTCCTTTGCCATCCGAACAATCCTGAACCCATCAATGATCAGGGATGAGCAGTCCCGCTGGTTCTCGTGCGGGTTCTTCCCATGGTCGGGGCCTCCTCGGTGAGGGCACAGGCGACAGTGACCGGGGAAAAGTGTCACACTCAGATGTC